GGGAATTTCATTTTTGCGTGAAAACCTGTGTTTCATAACTCATTTAATATAGTAATACATCTTTGAATCCACCCTTCAATAAAATTGATATGCGGTATAACAATCTTATAGTGTAGCTCTGTTTTCATTGATTCAATAATTTGATTATTCCATATAATTTTCCCTATAATTATTCTCTATAAATTTCAAGTTCCTGGACTGAATCCTTGTCTGGAATCAATGCTATAACTAAACGTTTTGAATATTTCAAAATGTGCCGTATAGTACAAAAAAATTTCTCTAACACTAAATTGCCTAGAAAAAAATTTCCATGTAAAATTTTTGAATTTCCGCATACTTTGAAGACATATTTTTATTCCTATAAACCTAAGTTAGTCGAAAATAAGATTACATATTGTCTATTCATTGAAAGTCATTCCGAGGCTTTTTAATATTGCATAATAATTACAAATTTAAATGAGCTGACGACTTCAATAACACAATATCAGTAACAACAATGGGAAATAGGGTTTGATATAACCAAGAAGCGGCGTCGACAGATCAAAAATTCCCAAATTTATCAAAGAAATCCGCCATGAATTTTCCACAAAAACAAGCGTATTTGATCGCCAAATATATATGGACAGAGTATGAAATTCAACTGTTGGTGTATGAATTAAAATTTGGGAATTTATCGAGGATAAAATTTTCATATCATTTATATATATATGATGTTACTCATAACATAATTAATTTTGATTACACGCCCAGCACGCTGCCCTCAGAACCACCGACCCGCGGATGACGGTTTTGATGAAAAGAATTGATATTTTAGGCTGGGCTGGCGTCGCAAAGCTTTAATAAGTAGCCTTGCAGTGCCCGGTTGATCCATATTGTCTACTGAGCACGATTGACTAACCCGGGTTTATCGCGTTGTCTTAACTGTAACTGAGAATTGTAGATGCGACATGTCCATGTCTACCTTATTGTTCCAGGAGACACACTCGTTCAAGAGTACCGGTAGTTTATAAAAGCTCACAGAGTGTCTAAATGGCAGAAGCTAGAAAATGGTTCCATTACATTTGAACCCACGTACATTTGAACCCATGACAATTGCACCTGCATACTATTGCACCTATGGAATTTTTTTGTTTTACGGATATTTGAACCCATACTAACCCTAACCCATGGGTTTTAGCACCCGCATATAGATTGAACCCGCGGATATACACATGGGTTGAAATGTACATGGGTTCAAATGTACGGTCACCCTAGAAAATATGTGCGGAAATGGACCGTGCGAGTTGTTTATCGCGTTCTCGTAACTGTATGAGAGTCGTAGATCAGAGTATTCAAGGATATTTAATTCTTGGCCGTATCGATCCAGGAGCCAATCTCACACTCGTTCAAGAGTAGTTTATAAACACCCACAAAGTGTTCCAATGGGCCGAAGCTAAAGAGTATGTGCGAAAACGTGAGAGTATGTGCGGAAAACGTGTCATACGAGTTTTTGTTTTTATAACATGAAGTTATTACTTTTTGTGGATAAGACACTGTGGTATTATATGCTAATAACACGAACCCGCTGTGCTTGATGAACCTTGAAAATCGGTACGATTGGCATTGGGTAATGAGACACCTGTGGCGTGTCAGGTTAGTGACGCCACTCAAAGACTAGATAACAGACCTTTTTAGGCACTGGCGTTTGTGTGTTAAACTAATCGTACCTGCATTTTATCTTTCATGACCATCCTTAGCTCGAAGCTGTTAAATCTAACTTTTGCCCACAAACAAGCTCTTTATTACAAGTGGTCTATTTTGCACATAAGATTAATGACTATTATGAGATTACATCGAATAATTTGTTTATTTATTTATGTTACTTCTGATAAGTTTCTTTTTAAAAATAGAATAATGATACACGACGTAACCTGAAGCGTTTTGGTTTAGAATTCACACCTACGATTTTAATTCTAGCATTATATTTGATTGCAAATCAGAAAATATATTCCAAATTGTTCTGCACAAAAATTGAAGACAAATTTTTGGTGTTTAGAAAACAAACCTGTTTTTTACGTCTGCCGTTAATTATAATTTTCTGGAATATCAACTTTATGTTAACCTAAATTGAAATGTTATGTGTTGGACAGATTTTGTAATTGGTTGTGCCTATTATTTTCGCAGTAAAATATTTGATCAGTACTTGAATAGAGAAATGCTGGCAACTTTACTGGACAAATTCAGATAACATGCAACGTTGCAGAAAATTCAGCTACAGTTACAGTATTTGTTTTCTGTGGTATAATCATAGGTCTAATACTTTTAAAATTAAAAATATTATTCCAACTGTTGTATTAACGACATTAGGAAGAATTTCTATTTTTTCGAATTTTGTCCATGACGGTTTGATTATATGAAAATAGCTGGTATTTTGTACTAATATACCTCTTTTTAAATCCTGAGTTGAAATATAGAAGTGCATAATCGTTGCACACATGTTTTTGTTATACATGATAGCCGTTTATTTACAAAATTTTCCAATCGATTACATTGTGGGTCATGAAAAGTTTGCATAGCTAACTTCGCATTCTTGGGGTTACAAAAGATTCTCACGCGAAACTGTTTCAACACTAGACTAGAACAATTTGTCGAATAGCTGGGACATCGAATCGTTGCACCGTATAAAAAGATTTTTTAGTAAGCGCCACAGAATGAATTAAATGCAATCAATCTTTATATTATGACGTTATTGCTATGACGTATTTGTTGGGTCCATGACAAGTTTCTTCTGATCTATTCGTGTCAATAGTGCCGTCCCATCCTACCGATTTTGTACGTTTTTTTCTTTTCTTTACCTTTGATTACAATCAGGTTGTAAAGTACATAACGATCGGGTCAGGTATGGACATCACGTAAAACGTATTATCGAATGGATGTAATGTAAACCACTTATCATTGTAAAAGTCTTAAAATACTTAGGTCCAAGCATGAAATAACAAAAATATGTTACATGCATAAATATAGTTATGGCGCATAGGTCGGACATTGTATCATGTAGTTGTAAATATTATGACTGAGATTTTCTCAATGAATTCATTCATCGTTACAACTTAATCTGGGAGGAGTTCAGTGCATGTTGGATGCAGCGACGATTACATACATAATTTCTGACATATGTTCATGTTGATATTGGTTTGGTAGTATTCCAGACACCGTTTCGGATTTTAGTAGTTGTCATAAGAAAGAAAGATGATGTTTGGGTCCTTAGTTAGTCGTTTGATGAAATCGAGAAGTAAGTCAAGTCAAGATTCTAGTAGCAGATCGGGGCGGATTTGAATTTGTAATCGCCAACCAAAAATATATTCAAAGCATGGCTATGAGTTATCAATATCTTATACCAAACTGCATGCACTAATTCGTTAGATTGTGTCGTTTTAACCAAGTTTTCTAGGAACACAAGCTCTCCAACAAACATCTAATATTACGATGGTATAAAATAAACTATCGCAAATTATAAATTAAAATCCTATTTCTATGACGATGTTTTCGGATTGTTTTATAACAAATCGACTATAGTTTAATTTTTATTGTGAATATTGCATGTTGGTGCAATATTACCATTTCGACATCGCAAGTTTACGAACCTATCTGACACCGTACAAAATCTGTTTATCATTTTGTATTTGAAAACTTAAATATATCAAATAACCAAGCATGTTCCAGATATGCATTGCATCTAAATGCAGTGGACTATGCATGGCGTATAGTTGTCAAACCAAAGTTTTTCAGCGCAGAGCGAATGCAAAACTGACAGAACATTTTATCAGGCAAGTGGTTTTGTATTGCAATTATAGTAATTAGCTTTTATTTATTTTCAAAGTATATCAAATTGAGAATTGAGCAGTTAAGAAGCAGATATAAAACCCGATGATGGCGATCCATTAGACTGGAATTGAGAGATAATTACGACCCTTTGGAAAGTATCCCGATATTATGTCCATGTGGCTATTAAATGATTTGTGCCAAGTGCAGGCTACTTTTTAACAGCAGCTAATGAAGCGACGATTCCAATATAAAAAAAAGGGATTATAACTGCATCTGATTTTTGAAAAAGCAGGAATTTAATTTCAAAAATATATCAAAATTTTGGTATTTAATTTTCTGTAGTTTTTATTTCAAGTTTATTTGTTTTTCTTCAAATTGAAAAAATTAGCATTAATTCCGGTAAAATTGAATTCGGTTGTTATTAAATTCAAATTCGCATATGATTACACCGGTCTCTCCTCGTTTCAACGGGTTTCATTTGATCATATCATGTAATATTCGTAAAATAATATTGCCAGTACATGTACGCATTTGTGGTTATTTGCTGTGAAACAAACGTGTTATTAGCTGAATTCTTGTATAAGGTGTTACACACCCCTGTCCAGAACAAGGCCCCATGTAAACAGTCTCCAGCACGTGGAGAGATATTAAAATTTGGAAAGGATGTATTCTGCTCAGTTCAATGCAAATCACTTGGGATTAAAATATGCGCTTCGCTCGGTATAGTCTTGCTTACCAATACTATTATATGCTGGGTCGCGTCCTTCAGTTGAACACTGTGACCATGACTCGAAATAGAAGCTACGAATGTCAACGTTGTTTGGTGGCACACAGCTGACAAGTGTACTGCTGCGCTCATTTTGCATTCGGTTTTTATCGCAATAAGGATGCTTTTAAATGATTTCCATACTTATCTGAAATAATATATTGAGATGATAGCTAAGGACAGTCAACTTTTAACCACAATTGTAGCGTCAAGGCTGTTGCAGCAAGCAGCTTGAATTCCGTTATGAATCAAAACTGACATGCTCGACACCATTAGACTATCGCCATAGTCATCATAAATCGAGTTGATTCCAGTTTCAAAAGGACAAATTTTCTATTAACAAGGTCGGTCTATTTTAACAGTCTGATATATAAACTTATGTACTACAGGTATTTGAATACGATTAACCGTTACATTTATAATACAGATACTTTAGAGTAGACTATTGTGATTTTCACGAATCCATATTGTCACAATTCATCATCGGAGACGAAGATTAGGTTTACATTTCGGAATCTACTTTACCAAGAACGGCGACGTGTAATAACCATTCAACGGATTACAATTGATTTAACAATCTTCCATCAAGACTTATCGACGTAACAGACAAGTGACGCAAATGACTTCGGTACGGTATTGTAAAGGGTAAAACGAATTTAAACTGGCAGCTATCTGTCTGAATCTGATGGGAAAATGTGCCGTAGATGCCATATAGATTATCAATCACACATGATAACAGTACCCTATTTCATGTCAGAAACAATAACAATATTGTTACAGCGAAAATGATTCTGTATCTGTACCTAAAGAGGTTTCGACATTGAAGATTTCACCAATGTCCAATTGCATAAATTTCGATATTTGAAAAAAATAATTCATGAATTGAATATCGATATCGATATATTCATACCAATATACCCATTTAGATATTTCAACGACGCCGATGTACAAATTATTCGACAACAAAACAACCATGATTACTAGATTAATCATACGTATCATATTATGTGTCATTATGATATAAATCAGTGTATTTTAGTGTTTCGATAAGCATTTTTGCGCTCGAGAATTACATCTCTCTGCTACGTCTCAGCGTGGTGATTTAATAACTCTTTAAATCAATTTCACAGAATTACAAGTCAGTCTATAAAATGTGAAGCCTGAATGTACAACATTTTGGTGCAAATTCAATACCACATCCAACAAGAAGTAGAAGTATGATGGAACAAAGATTGAAAGCGGAAAGCTGGTCTAATATACGTAAGTTATTTCTGCATAACAGATACCAGTCAGCCCGGGATTTGGGTGCCGTTTAGTAATGTTCTATAAAATTCGGTTTCATTTGAATGCCTTTCTTTTCGGATATGATATTTTTTAATTTCCTAATAATCCTATCTCGCAATACGATCAGGTCAAATAATTAATTTTTTTTAGTAAAGTATAGTTTATAAACCCAAATATAGCCGATTGTGGATTCTTTTCAAAGTGAACCCTAGATTCTAGAATAAGAAATGCTGAAAATGGTAGTGCGGTAAACACCGTAAAGGGCGGGGAATAATAGGAGGACTATTGGAATTTCGAGGTGAATGCAATAACTTTTGGGTCACGTCCGTTTTCCCTTCAAATGTCGTAATAATCAGAAATTCTTTTTGTCTTGCGTTTTCATAATCTAGTTATAGTGCATTAGTTTTAGCTCTGCGTTCGATGTGCATTCGAATTTGTATTTACGCAAGACATGTTTTTAAAAATATTACATAAATATCACCGGCAGAGATCAAGGCCTTCTATACAAACAGAAGTAACGGGGCGAAGTAAACCCCGTTGGGATTTGTGAAACATGAGGATTACAACCAATGAGCTAGTTTCTGCTTCTAGTTAATCTATTCCACTTTTCCAGATTTAATAAACAAAATCAAACTTAATCAATCATGATCGAATATGAAAAGAATCTGTCAATGAACCCATGTTTCAAAAATATTTGAATTGTGCCATACTTGGTTCATTGAAAATATCACATCAATTTCTATGTATTAGGACTTGAGCAGGCGTGGTCCATACTCGGATGGCGACAATTCTTCTGCGTTCCGTAGTAGGTCATTACAAAACGAAAGAGTGTGATGTATTGTTAGAGTGAAGAAATAAACAATTTCTAAACCTGCAATTACGAATAGCAATGTCATAACCCCTGAACCAGCTCAAATCCCCTTATTGAGGGATGCAACTATATAATGACAGTCTACAACACACGATCACTCAACACAGTGTTCTGGTGCCTACCTCAAACCCGAAAAAAATATTTTCTATCGAAGCAAGTTAAAAATGACGGCGTGTTAGATAGCGCTAAATATTTGAAAAAGGTCAGGTCGTCTCGATTCTAAGGTGCGGTTTCAGTACTCCTAGACAAAGTTCTGTGGCACTATAACAACATTAACATTTAAATGAATTCGAACATTTTGCTAAATGAAAAGTGCGAAACTATTAGACAACTGTGCAATCATTTATGTACTTTGTTAATTTTCATTCTTTGTTTATTTCTTTAAAAGTATTTGTGACTTGTGAGCATTCACTCAACTAGTTCTAGTTACCTTCTCACATTTCTGGAACATGTTGTTAAAAGGAATGCCCTTTGAGACGTGTGACCAACTAACTAAAACTTGAGTAGGGTGGTGGTTTTGTGAATCGAGGCCTAACATACAGATCCAGAGTTGTTCTGAACACTTTATTCTCAAAATCTAGAATTCCCCTAACATCAACAACAACGACAGAGCATTAACACCTTTATAAAATACCATGAATAAAATATATCACGTCAAAATGACTTGCTCAAAAATATTTCATGAACTTTTGAATAGAAATATTGAAGTGTGTGATCAATTGTGTAGTGAAATGGAATATTAAATTATTCTCTTTTGGAGCGTTTACGTATAAGGTTACCAAGATGTTTTCTAAATATATATAATTATTTTAGTTTATACCCAAGCAGTTGTGACATTGCTCATCACATTTGAAGGGTACGCTTACTTTTGCTTCTGTATTACGTTAATGCCAAAAGCGTTGCGCCACAAGAAACTAGATATTTATAACAACAAATGCAAATTGCCTCGGTGCATTTTTGTTATTATTCTATTATTTGTCCTTGTTTTGTGATAATGTTTTCTGTTTCTACAATATTTCCGATAATTTCAAACAGTGTGCGATATGTTTCAAACCAAATACACTCAATAATAAAACGAAAATTAGAAAATCAATCATTGAATCTAGACGTGAAGATATTTTGTGAGATAACTGCATGTTTGCACATGGAAAAAGATTGTCAATGATAAATCACTTTTAAATGGATTTGAATTGCAACCTGAACATTTTGACAACACAATTCTAGTAAAACAAATGTTTCGAACATTTTACGATGTTTGCATTGTTCACTCACACCCCCATCCAGAATAAAGCCCTACCTAGTAAAACAGTTTCTTTTTAGAGTTAGGATATGGGCAAAGACAAAAATCGTATTATCCGTCTCATTCATTACACTCTAATTTGGTATTGGCTTAACCCCCTATTTCCCAACCAGGGGGGAGGGGTTCCTCACTGAGAAATTTTGTCGTCTTGGGGGAGGAATTTTGTATATGCTGTGGTTTTACTAATATTCTCTAATATGGGACACAAAATGGACCTATAGAGCGTTTTGTTATTTTGCATTTTCTTCTTGTTGCTGTGAAAAAAAAATCGCTTTTTCTTTAACTACTGGACCAAATGCTTTGGAGATTGGTTTTCATCGGGTAAAGATGGTTGTTGTCGCTAGAAAGCTATTACTTTTATTCATTTTAAAAATGTTATGGAATTCGTTTCTCACTTTGTGTGATGACGCTATCAAAATTTAAAAAAAATCACACCGTGCTGTGGTTCCGTGATCGCATTTCAGCGATCTCGCGGTCAGACTACCGGTCGGTACTGTGAAAGATTTGATGCTTTTCGTTTGGGTTTTCGTGTCCATATATTTGAGCATAGCTCTCTCGTTACTATAATACTCATTTGTGCACACATCATAAACATACAATATACTTAATCTGTATCCTTTATTTATTTAGTCCAAAACTTGCTTTGTGAGTGCGAATCCTGTAAAAGAGTATATATATATGGCATCTAATTTTTAGATTTTACTTAATTTAGATATATATATAGATTCTAGATATACCGACAAAGCGCATCTTTACTTCTAGCAGTCGTTCTGTACGGACATTTATCGGCATGAAAGATGCTACTATAAGTAGTCTTCCCTGTAAATAACTTCACAATTAGTTAGGTCAACCGATACTTTTAAAACAGTATTAAGTTTGATAATAAATGAGATGTGCTTTTGATTTGTTTATAATATCAACAGTTTTTCATTTATTTCAGGATCTCATCGAGTTAAAATCGAGGTAACAGGATCATCGTTTGAACCGAATGACATCACTATCAACATGCATGCACATAACATGTAAGAGTAATTTTATTCTTGCAGAGAAAAATCGCAATTTATGGCCAATTTTGTATTTCATAACGTTCAACTAAACTGTACATGGACGATATACCTTTTTATTTTTGGGTTTAACTTGCAAATATTTAAACTTCACCCGATTCTTGGAACCAAGAGCGAGTTAACGTTACCGAAGTACCGATACAACAAATTAGCTAAAGTTTCAAAGTACGGTTAGCAAACATGAAAAGTAACATGCTACATCACTGCCTAAAAATTATGCATGATATTGTGTAAACACGAATCCTAAATACTGTGCATCCTAGAATTTTGTTTTCAATTCCCAGTGCTAGCGATATCGAAGACAACGTTCAAGTAGACACCGAGGACAAAGAATGGGATCAGGAACCGCTGTCTTACAAAAGTTTTTCTTTTTCTACATTGGCTCAACGAAGTGCGGTATGAAAGCAGTAGTATTGAATATAGTTTTAGATAATATATATAAATGATAAAATATTAGATATAACTTGAATTTGCAAGGAATTGTGTAACAATATGAAGTTATATATAGCCTTGGATATGAACTTTATGACAGCGCATGATCCTGAACTTGGAAATGTAAGACATGTGAATGGGATAGGATAATGTTTGCATTCTTTCGTGCTAAATGCAGTAAAATTTAAATGTATGGACACATGCGAGCTTCATCCTGTAAATATCAATAGAGCAAAATACTTAACTGTACAGGATTTTAAGTGCAACAAAACGCTCGAAAAATTGAAGTTGATTCTCGCAGAAGATGAATCTGATTTTAATTGGACAGTCAACACATATCCCCACAGTTTAATCCCAAAAATTGATGATAATTGTTTGTGACGTAAACAACTTCTGCAAACATCTTGCATTCTGTGGTAGACCTTTTCTCTATGATTGAAATCAGTTTGGCATAGGGTACGGTGATGACGCATTTATAATGCATAATTTAATGTGATTTATATTCTTGACATTAAAGACTCAAGGAATAGACAAAATTGAATATTAATTTCAGGCGGTGAAGCCAGTACCAATATCGGCGGATACAACACCAAGGACAAGGCGGAAATCAGTCAAACGTATCATTGAAAAATTCAGTGCAAGCTCGATCACGGATCCATTGCCGACGGAAAAGAATAACGTGACGACAAACAAGAAAACGCATAAAGCTGCACCAAAGAGGGATTCAGTCTATTTTGTAAGTTTGCTACGTCATTGGTAACTCATTATCGCCTAACAAACTTGAATAGGTGATCTCCATCAACTTTGCTATATCATGATAACTAGGCTGGCGGTAAAATTTCTTCAAGCGAATAAATTCGATTTATATATTTCAACGATGGTGGCCATCACCAATGACGATCAGCCTGTCATCAATCTGTATTTCTGTCGGATTATTTTTGAGAAAAAGTTCGCTCTTCTGACGCAGGCGAGAATTTTTGCGGTTGATATAATTCCTGTTTTAAGTCGTTGCGTGCGTGTGAAACTATTTTATTTTCTAAAAGTAGACTTTATTTATTTACCTTATATGTCATGAAGTTCTGGTACATTTTCACACACGGAATTATTAAGGATATTTTAAAACCTGCAAATTTTAAGTTGTTAAATATCCTTTGAATGGCTACGAAAACAGACAACGGCGAACAAAATTAGTTACCTCCATATTGGTACACACACTTCTGGAGCGCCAAATTTAGATCAATTTTTTTTTTATTTTCGTCTTTGAGGCATGGTGCATTCTTCTAGAAACAAAAAAAGCGAATTTTTCAAAACTTTTGCGTATGTCCACTTACTTTAGCAAAGTCATCGGTATGAACTCAAAATCAAGATATTAACCAACGATATGCGTTAAGAAATACCAATCGAAAGATTTGGAGTAAAAGGTTACGAAGATAACAGCAACGAAATAGTTCTACATAATGGCTAATTTTGTGCAAAAGTATCCGCATAAATTTACTTCGTCCGGAAAGAACTGTCAGGTCCTCAGTTGTCAATTTTTTCGACTGGGTTGTCGTAATATCGATTTTATAATGTGATTAATAACGGTCCATGGAATCCTTAGAAATAACCCTTATTTAAATATATTTTTCACGCTCGAAAATCAAGTTCGGCTTTTTAAATACGTATTCTAGCAGTATTTATCAGAAGTTAAATGAATAAAGTCAGAATAAACTGGCGAGGAATAGCGTCCAATGAGTCATTAGTCAAGATATTATCTCGTTTTTGTCATTTGTTTCCACTTGAAAATAGCGAATAATTATCCCTTGTGGTCAATTGCAAGATTGCAGACCGTGCAACTAACAACTCATTTCTCTATACATTTGAGTTATCCGCAAACGCTGGTAGCAAGGACGACTATACAAGCTGAAAATTGCTGGGTGAGGCATCAGTTTGGTACAACTTATCTTAATTAAGTTTTTCATCATGTAACGAAAAATCATTTTAACCGTTGTGAAATCATTCTTCAAGGATCGCACCGTTATATTTATGTTATCGAAGCTTTCTTAGGAAAACATTGATTTATATATCCCAAGATATAGGGGCTTTTGCACAACACTAAATTGACTATATTAAAAAACTAGTCCTAATGTTGAATTGCATATATTTCCCCACGGCAATCTGAAATTGAGCTGCATTTCAAACTACGCATATACGTGTAGTTGAAATTGCGTTCCCGTAATTTTTCTGGAATTCCATCTGCGCAGGAAGGTGGGGCCGCCGGTGTATATATGGCCCGGTCGCTTCTAGCCCCCAATTTTTAGTTCCAACAAAAATATTTGAATTTAAAGTTGGTGTTTTGTGGACAAAATATATATTCGAGAAATACATATATGTGACATAATTGCGAATACAGTATATATACGGTGACTGGAAGCCAATTAATTAAATTATACTCGGAAAATGTTAACATCGTGTTAACAATTTCGTGTTCGTCATTTTTAATTCGAAAATTAGATAACCATTTCTCGTACCAATTAGAAAAAAAGTAGACGATGGCGAAGCTGTGACGCCAGTCCATATGTGTTCAACAGTATAAATCTTTTATTTATGAAACTTTAATTTGTGTATCCGAAAATAATGCCAAATTTAGATGTAGCACACAGTGAAAACAATATTTGTAGCTTCAATAAAATTTTCAACACCGGGTATATACGAATCTATCCGTGGTATCGAAAACTCTCGAGTTAAGCCGAGAAATCTGAATACCCTAAGTGGCAACAAATGGGTTAAAATATGCAAGATACACATAATATGATTGAAGACACAATGAATATTCATCGATCTTTACTATGTTAAACATATTAACATTAAAGCGATTTTCATTCATGCGCGGATGAACATGGAGTATTTTGATCAAATATAGAAAAATTAGTCAATCTATACATAACGTGAAATATGTTATATACTCCAGAAATGGCCACGGATGCTAATTGAAAAATCAGGCCTCCATCACACAATAGGAATTTGTCTCGAATGATAGCATAGAAATAGTCAAATAGTAGGTTTTGCTGCAACAAATATTTACAATATTTTCAGTTCATGGATTTGTATATACGATATAGTATCAGCATATTCGACATGTTTACTTCTTTGTTGTTCTTTTTACTATACTGTTATAGCAATATCGTGAATATGAAATAAATTCATTTTTTCTAATGTAATTAGATAATGGAATGTGTTATTTAAGATACTTTTATTGTTGTGCTCGAAACAGAAAACACATTTTTTGTAAATGGGTGAAATTTTTACTCGAATTCATTTTTTTTCTCTTTTCATAACAATTAAAACTTAATTCTAACCTTTGAAACAAAACGATTAAAAAAATGAATCGATTGAAAAATGAATTTGTGGTTTTTTTTTTCATTTATGAGCTGTTTATTCAATTTTCTTTAGATTAAATTCAAAACCTATCAAAACAATTTTATTTTTATTAAAAACGATATTTTGAAATTTTCAGAATTTATACATGGACGCTATTGAGCAACGTCTATTTGACGAAGAGGACATGATAGTTTGGACAGTTCAAGAAAGATTCCCAAATGACGATCTCAAATTTTACGAAGGCCTCTTCAGTATACAGAACGTTACGTCACAAAGCACAATACCATATTCCATACCATCCCCATCCTTGTCACCGAGATCAAATCCAATCAACGTTGTGGTCGATTTAAACCATAAACACACAGAAGATCCAGAGAAACATGAAGATACAATAGACGGTGAAAAGTTTCATTTCAGTGCACAGCTTGCACGTAAAAAGGTAAACAATTAAGTCTGTCCTCGACGAACGGTGTTTATCAATCATAAATGTTTATCTTTTTTTAATAAAGTGCTTGAATCCTTCCCCCTCGACCTGGCTCCGTACTCGTTGTTGCCTTATTGGACTATTGCGTATAATAGGTACTGATGAAATATAAGTACAGGAAAAAATATAACCCAGCTCATTTGAAACATATTGCATATTCCATTTTGTTTAGGTAATTATGAAACTCACGGTTTCTGATTGTGGGCGTCGCCCTGTAATAATAACTAGTCACGCGAATATGACGAAGTCTCAATTTAACACCAACAATAAAATGGAATGTTATTTGTGATAATAAATATTTCGACAATCTTTCAACCGACCAGTTATAAAGTTGTATTAGATCTATTTTTCTTTTGGATTGATAGAACACTGGCTATATGTGAATTTCCAGAAAGTTTTAATTCTCTATATGCATGTGATTGTGTAAGCAAGAGAACGTCAAATATTTTTGTTTCGAACTGATTGAAATATACTGAAATAGTCTTGTATACTATAATGTGTTTTCTATCAAAGGCTATCTTGACAATGGGGAAGATTGATTTTTCATGGGTGACATTTTTTGTAAGCGCAAATCAAGTTGTAGCCTACAGCATTAAACCGAGCATTAATGTTGGAAACATGATATTCATATATCTATCAAGTATGTGGTGCACAGAATTTTGCAGAGGCAACATAGCAAACATATTTAGAGAATCAAAATATTATATTTTTAGGAAATTGCGATGGCGAAGATCCACGATAGTCGGACCTTCAAGTTCAATCATCACCACCATCATCAGCATTCGAATTTCGCTTCACAATTCCCCGTGTTCTCAAGATTATCTCCTGGACTGCAGGTGGGCGCTACAGAGCTGATTTGTTTTCAATAATTTTGCAAATTAGTCATGCGTGCGATTAAACGTAACCATGGCATAGAGTCAAATTCTGTTTGTTTATATTGAAAGTAGGAGTCAACATTTCAATTGACCGGATTCGGATACTGAAGCCTACTTTTGGGTTTTACGTAGTCGAAATGTCCCACTTAAACCAATTGAGTTTGTAAATCAAAAGTCATCGCAGTGGATTTGATATTCAAGTGCCGGAAGGTAGAATTGGATTTATGATTTGTTAACCGCGATTGGGATTCAGAATCAAATTTTTAATAGGTTTCCATCCCTACACCCTTTCCATAGCCATGCTTCGTGGAAAAGGAGTAATAAACTAATTATGCTAAAAAGTAGAACGACATTACGATTGATGTAACTAAACTGAGTTAAAAATTACATTCAAAACATAATATGTGTATTATCTTTTATCGAATGCTGGAAGCAGATTCCGCTTTGTATCACATAACTGCTTTGGACGATATTTGTGAATTTTCGAACGATTTACTTATATATATCAGTAAATTCCACAGTTCCAGTTTCGCAGTTTTTATTCTATTGTAGTACGCTGGGTGGCAGCATATCGCTATTTCGACAGCTTTTACAAATTTCCTATACAAGTCATAATCGATTGTATGTTTAGGATTAGTTCGAAAAAACGCGATTTAGTGGGTATAATAAGTGGAGATTCGCGTTTCAGAATTCGTAATCAATATTCGATTCGAAGTGATATTAATTATGATTCTATAAATCTCTATTTATTTCAGAATGTGAAATTTAAATTATAAAATTTTAATATCAGTACTCTACGTAACTTGCCATCAATTAGCAAATTGCATAATACTACGTTAAAGTTTCGTCTATAGGTTGCGCCCGTATTCTTAATTAATAAGTAAAATTAAATCACCGTCATAATTTTCTTATTTAGCAGTAAGATTTAGATAGAAAAACGTGTTATATTGGTCTATACAGCAATTTTAGATTGATATTCGATATAACCAATTCAAAATGTATCAATTCGACGATTGTTTCCCATAAAATAAAGATCTTGAAAAATCGGCAGATATTCATAAAATTATTTCATATGTTCCCTCAACCCTTGAGAACCAAAGATGGCGGTTGAAGAATCATACCTTATCCTCGGATCATATTTGGCCATAGTTCTATCTCCATGACACTAGACAGGCTTTTTATACAGGTTGAATTTAATGTATGTTCTAGACATGGCCATATAAATATTATCAAGCTTATGTTTCTAGTTCGATTGATTTTTAGAAATATACGTGCTTGCATATAATTTCGTGACATTTTTTGTTCAATTATCAATACTTCGTTAGTTCGTGGTAGAATTTTCGTTCAAACTATTTCACAGTCTATACGTAAAACGACATGTGCTTTTTAATAACTTCATTGGTACTTTTACTATGTTAACAGGTGACAGGTAGGGAAATTTTAAGATTTATGTGTATAACTATTCATTGATTTTTTTCTGGGATCAGTACTTTTGCACGAGTATCGTTTTTGTGCTCGGTCTTCAGTCGGATTTGATAATTTGGGTTGGGATACGTATAAAACTGAAGGCAAATGGTTAGAGTAAGCATCGAGAGAAAGTGAAATATAAAATTAGTGGTTTATGCATTATTTTTTATCGCAATAAGAAACCAGGGGGGTTTTGCAAGTGTTAGTTAAAATTCTAATAGTTGAGAGTTATAATACTAGAATATATATTAGGATTGGTATGGATATACGTTTTCATTCACTATCTGAATGGCATTCGTCGTCATTTTGTCTTTATTTTCTACTGTTCAGAATTGGATACATTAGTTTTGTATTATATACCAATATATGAAGAATCACGGTAAAATGTTCACCGGTTGACCTATGACCCCAAGAATCCGGAAAGTAGTTGTTATTTTATCGCTAATATGTGGGTAATTTTACCATAAAAGCTTAGTAAATGAATTATCAATCCATATCACAGATTAGGTACTGGTCTGAAACATATAAACCAGTTTATAGTCACTAACTCACGAAACCACTCTTCAAATAAGCACCAAAAATGCACCAGTGGTAAAGTATAGGAAGCATTTTCCGGGGGTCAAAAGTCGGGAAAACATACATAGGCATGTAACATTTTAACTCTTGTCTTTCAACTAAGTACTTATATCAACTTAGAGAATCAGGCTTATATATTGCATACCATGTCACCGTTCTGTTACCGTCTATGGCCAATGGTTGTTTTACTTGAAAGACAGCTGTGAGGCCAAGTTCTAGAATACGCAATAGTGGTATTGGAGGGCCGCCACAGGAACGCGTCATATATCTGGCGTATTAGAACTTGGTAGCGCATAGTTCATGCACCTATTCAAATTGTTTACTCGATATAAAAACAGCAAGTGAAGCTAAAATTCTCGATATACGTGATTCATTTGTGCTTTGTTTTATTCGTAAAATGTACCATTTGCTGAGCCATTTCCTAACAGTCAGAAGTTAGTCAGGGTCAACACTTTTGTATATACTTTTTCGATGATCTATCGCCAATTTGGAATTTTCGAGACAAACACGCGCTGGAATTTGCTCGATCAAGATGTAGCAATTGTTGCAACACTTTACAAAAATATTTGAAATCATTATTCGTTGACACGAAGCCCCCCCCCCCCCCCCTGCCTATAGGTTTCAGTTTCTTGACACAACTTGATGTAAAGTAGGCGAACAAAATTTGTTACCTCTATATTGGTACACACATTTCTGGAGCGCCGACACGGATGATCGCTGATATGTTGTGACAGCGAAACGACATGTTCACGGCGTCTATTTGAACATAGATTTTGATACCAAATATAAAAAACTTTTGCGGTTTGTTTGCGACAACATAATTCTGACGACTGTGACAAGATATAGCCTTTTTAGGTGAATTGCGCCGTATCGAAGTTGAGACCACACTTACTAATCTAGTGAAGCGTTGCATTTTGAATTGCACCAACCAGAAAATTTATGACGTCACGTTACGGTTAAAAACGTGTAAAGTTACATACTATCACATAGTTAATAATATCTTCACGATCATATACTTTATCATTGTAAGCCAACGATTTTTATTTAATTTAAGCTAGGGAGTAAATTAGTGTTTAAATTGTTCTTGAGGTTAAGTTGGCATTGCAGATTGACGATGTTTCCAGTTGCGAATCATTTAGTCACAGAGACCAAGGTTCTGGAAGATTAGGTTATTTTAGAGTTTACTTCAAAGACTCAGAGTATATAAGAAAACAGAACTATATTAAATTTCATTTCCATCAATGTTTAGTGACGGACTTTTTTATTCGATAGTGGAGAAAAATATCGAAGTTCGTGTATTTTATTTACTATAGAAATATTATGTATTTTTTTTTATAAACAATCGCTTATACGTATTACTATATATCAAAAATGTGTAATGATTTTATTACATCCGTCGTTTTGGAATTAGTTATTCTCATTACTTTCAAAATGAATCAATCGCGTTATTGACATTGACAAGAAAAGTCATGACACTGATTTTAAATTGCTTGTGGGCTTGAAGCAGATCAGAATCAGAAAATAACATTCTGGTTATTAAACTGAGGCTATAATCATATTTCGATAAAAGTTATCAATAGTAGTACGTTCGCACATTCCCAACTCAAACGCAAAATCGAATTGCAAATCCTTTCCAACGTAAATTTTGAGCAGATTTTTGTTCGATAAACCATCAAAGCTTAACGTGGAATTCGATATACAAAACCTTCTTTACTTGAAAGCCCTAAATTCCGATCTGTAGTTCACTACACACCCGAGGTTGCTGCGTGCTGGGAGTGGCGCAATTGGAGCCCAAAATATCGCCAAATTGCCTCTTTTTAAGAGGTTGTTTTGAAAATTAAAGCCGCTAATATTCTTAAAATTAGCCCTGTCCTCAACTTGTTTTCAAGTGGGCCAACGGGTCTCAAGGGTCATCTTGTTTCGTCCTGTGAAGTATTGTTTATAATAACAATTTTGAGTACTTGTATAGAATGATAATGTAAAGAAAAGGACAATATGGATATATAGAGCTTTGACCAAGGTGTGAAGTGGTTTTTTCTAATCGGATTCAGAATTAGATTTTTATCTACCTGCCGGTAAACTATAATGATTGATTTATACTTGTCACAGCCTATCCAAACATTGTAGTTACCGGTATACAGAACTTGACTAATGGAATTTTGTGAAATATTACCATGTTGATGAATGTCAAGCTATTTTATTTGTTTTTTTTATTTTTTTGTTTGTTGAAGTAAACCCGATGAGGGTGAACCCAAAAAAAACAATACCCAGGTCATTTGAAATATATTTTGGAGAGGGCGCTCCAGAAGTATGTGTACCAATATGGAGGTAACAAATTTTGTACGCCCAATTTGCAACAAGTTGTGTAAACGAACTGAAACCCTATGGGCAGAGGGGATATTCACTTGGCTAACATAGACAGTCCCCGAACTCGTAATAGAAGTAAAATGAGGAAAATCGGAATAAAATTATGGCCTAACACTAAACTGTTACATATATATACTACGGGAGTAGCCGGTAGAGAACATAACTTTTGTGCAAAGAATCCTATTTTACTGAAACTGTCGTGCGTACGAGCTAAAGTGTTAAATAAGTTTCCTTCATTTTCGTTGAAGTAATTACGAAAATTACGGGTTCTTTGTTTTGAGAGTCACCCTGTATTTTCTGGTTGATAATTCTATTCCAAAAATGTTCGTGTTTTTCCTATATTTTGTGTTAAGCATAGTTGTATCGCATATCTAACATGTAACATATTTTTCTTTTGTCCGTTGCTCAGCGGATCTTGTCGAAACACACATAAATTATTTTATGTAGTTGATTTAAATTCTTCAACTATCGCATCTTTCAAAGTGGAATTGAATTACGTAGGTCTTGATTTGGCTTCATCACCCTTTGTATTTTTTTAATGCACCAGCCGT